TTCATTTAATCAGGAATGAGAAGAAAAACGTGATAGTACTGATTCCTTCAGTGATAAAAGTGCAGTCGTAACTGTAGTACATATAGTTGTATAGTGATAAGATTCCACCCATTAGGTGGAGGTATTTGTAAAGTCCTGGTACATGACCAATGAGATGGAAGTGCATAATAATTCAATATAAGTAAATGAATAAATAAATAAATGAGGGCTCTGATTTTTCACATTTCCAGTGAACTTGGTCCCATTCGGACCGGAAGTCGGTGATGAAGAGGTAATACCTGGTATGTTAACGTCTGGGCAAACAATCGATCTCCATATGTATTTCCCATTCTACGGTGGTCTTTACAACTATACAACGGTGAGTTTGTGATGGTTGAAATAGAGAACATATTATTTGTCTTCCTTGAAAGGCTACTGAATGTTCCTGGGCCCTAATTCCAGCCGACTTTGTACCTTGAGCTTTCAGAATAAAAAAGAGTCCTTTTTTCTCAGATGAATGGCGCCTATCCGGTACCTCCACTGACTGCGGTAAGGTGAAACTTGTACGTACCGTGTTGAAGCGATAAACGTTTGCCCTTGACTACTGTAAACAATAGTAAAGTCCAGTAAAAGGACTATCAAGGGCATCTTCTATCTCCTCATTAAACAAAATAGTGCTAGCCGGCACTGTACGGCATCCAAATGGATCTCGGAGAAAATGTAGGGGAACGTGAATGCCCTCGGAAAAACCAGATTGAAAGAGAATCGAGATATCCTTAAAATCTTCTCAAATTCTGTCAAAAATTTCTTCCTGACAGAAGATGCAGTTTTGCAGATATCTGTAAATGGATACATCGGTTTCGCTACCGTACTGGATCAAGGACCCACTATCAACATCGGCCCTGAATCCACCGACTGGCCAAAGCACCAGGATCCAGCTATGATTGCTCCGTATCTCTGTAAACAGCAAGTGAGCTATGTAACATACCTCTAGAGTCGGAATAAGACCTTCATTCTGATTTGGTCTTGGAACATTGCACTTTTTTAGATTCCGCAAGAAATGAATCCGGGAATGCGATCGGGTGTTTTCTTCCGTTTGATGATGAGGCAGTCCTTGTTTGGTCGAGGATCTGGCAGTAACATGAACCTAGGTGGTTCGTATCAGAGCAGCTTCTTTGGCCAGTCAGCTATGCAGGTTTGTAAAAAGCAGAAAGAGGCTTACCTAGGTGGCTGCATCCAAACAATATTTCTATCCCAAGCCTTAATTTCAGGCTTGTCAAGGAACATCAGGAGGTTATGTGCA